TGAGGATTAATAAAGTAATATAGGTAAGCTTTCTGGTTCACAATAATGATAGAGGTTGCTACCGACACCACTAGAGTATAGCTCTATGTAGCAAAGATTTTTGTTCCTTGCTGTATCTGGCACATATTAGATACTCAGTAAATAATGAAAGGATACATGGATGCCCCTTATTGTCACATAGGACAGAACTTGTAGAATTCTACCTGAAAACAATAAAGTAAAAAAGCTGAGTCTCGGTAATAAAGGGTTGTTTTAAATTGCCAGGTAAATGTATCAGTTTCAAGCGAGTCTACTAAGTGTGAAGAGCAAGCATGCTGCAAACTCCTCCGTGTTTTCCATACTTCAGTGTTCCTCTCGGTCACTCGGTTCTCTTCCTTCTGAATCTTGCCCCTCCCCTCCCCCGAACTGTGTACCTCTTTCTCATTTCTCTTTCTCTGCCCTTGGACTCTCTTTATAGGTCTTTTCTTGAATGGTATGTGTTTGTATGAATTTCTCTACTCCGTTTCCTCTTCTCTTGACTTTCTCCCTTCACCATCGTAGAGATTTTTTAAAATAAACATGTATAGAGTTTTGGTGGTGGTGTGTGGGAAACTCCTGGAGTTACTTCACCTTTGCAAGCATGATTGAATTTCCTCTGTGATTCTTTAATAGACAGAAGGAAAGCTTTTCACTCCTGATCTAAGCTCCCAGATTGTGTGAAGCATTTTAAAATTTGTCTTAAATTCCTTCCTCCTGCAGTTTTGCTTCTGGAAATATCCTTTGACCATCTTCTTTAATTCTGGCTACTTCTGCTTTTCACTGAGTTACAATAAGTGGTTCATTAATTGCTTCCATGTTCATCTGAGATCCTCTTCAAAGGGTTGCATGATTTTTCAACCACTTAATTCAAAGAACCTTTTCTTGGAAATTGTCCTTATCATTATAAAGTTGTTTTAATGACATAGTTCTCTGTGCCATTCTCAACATTAATTGTATTGTATAGCATTTGCAATATAATATACTGGGTTTTTTTGTTTTTTGTTTTTTCTAAGTCACACTTATTGGAAATGCAAGGGCCCTGAAGTGCCTGAGTGGCTCAGTTGGTTGTGCATCTGACTCTTGATTTGGGCTCAGGTCATGATCTCACAGTTTGTGAGTCCAAGCCCTGTGTCAGGTTCTGCGCTGACAGTGTGGAACCTGCTTGGGATTCTCTCTTTCCCTCTTTCTCTGCCCCTCCCCTGCTTGCACTTGTGTGCTCTCTCTCTCTCTCTCTCTCTTTCAAAATAAATAAACATTAAAAAAAAGAAGAAGAAAAGAAACGCAGAGGCCCTAAAGAGATAATACTTAGATATTTTGCTAAAGTAAAAAGAGGGTCTTCTCCCCAAATTACCTGGCACTAGAAGTCAAAATAAATTGTCATTGACAAATACTATGTTATATAATCCCAGGCCTTCAAATTCCAGGAGGGTTCTTTCCTTTTGTGTTCCTTGTCACTGTATTCCTTGACAGATCACTGCCCTTTATTGACCTTCCCTTCCCATCAGCTCTTCCCTACCTAAAAATTTATTGAAAAAAGAAAAAGCTATATCACCCTTTGGGTTTTTCCTTTTTAAAGATCTGTAAATAGGGGGGCGCCTGGGTGGCTCAGTCGGTTAAGTGTCCGACTGTGGCTCAGGTCACGATCTCACAGTTCATGGGTTTGAGCCCTGTGTCGGGCTCTGTGCTGACAGCTCAGAGCCTGCAGCCTGCTTCTGATTCTGTGTCTCCCTCTCTCTCTGCTCCTCCCCCGCTCATGCTCTGTCTCTCTCTCTCCTTCAAAAATAAATAAAAACATTTAAAAAAAATTTTTAGAGATCTGTAAATAGGGGCACCTGTCTGGCTCAGTTGGTAGAGCATGTGACTCTTGATCTCAGCATTGTAAAGAGGTTCGAGCCCCACATTGGGTGTAGAAATTACTTAAAAATAAAATCTTTAAAGCAAATAAATAAACCATCATAAATAAATATAGCAGCCTGTTTGTTTCATTTTAGAAAATTAAGGGGAGAAAAGACTTTACATATTATGTTAGTGGCTTTTTAAAACTTTATTTTCTGTTCCCACTAGAGGGCATTCTTTCCTCTGATTTTAATTCATAGCTTTTGTATATTTATTTTACAGAACTGCTAAATAAAAAGATAAATGTAGGGACGCCTGGGTGGCTCAGTCAGTTAAGCGTCTGACTTCCACTCAGATCATGATCTCACGGGTTCACGAGTTGGAGCCCCACATCGGGCTCTGTGCTGACAGTTCATAGCCTGGAGCTGCTTCATTCAGATCTTGTGTCTGTCTCCCTCTCTCTCTGCCCCTCCCTCGCTTGCATTCTCGCTCTCCAAAATAAATAAAAGTTAAAAAAAATTTTTTTTAAATAGATAAATGTTGAGGATATGAATGTGCTCAGATACACCTCTTACAGATAGGAGTTGTCAGAAATATACCATTCTCTTCATTTAAGTTTCATCTGTGCCAATATCAAAATTGATGTCAAACTATATTTCCTAGCATTTTTACCTCGTAAGTGAGCTTGGTTAGATGGGGGATCACAAATATCCCACCATAACTTTATGATGCTGTTTGTGCAGTTACATTTTACAGACCAGTGCTTATCCTAATTTATGTTGCAGTATGGCTAAAGCTAGATTATTCAAAGATGAGTTTGCGTATTTTATTATGTGGTTAACTCAGTTTTTGCAAGCTGTATTTAATATAGGGCAAACGAAATCTAAACATATTTTGTTAATCCAGTAGATCTCAGTGCTAACACCCAATGGTTTTCCAGCCTTGCCTCTCAAGGCAATATTTTATTTGACAGTATTTGAACTCTTGTTTCTGTTGTGACATCATGCTTTTCTGCAGGAACTTTATCCTTAACATCTAATCAGAGGCAGCTCCATTCTTCTATTAAAGAATTGATAATTTGACATGAGCCGCATATATGTTCTGTTCCAGACTTTCCTGAGCCTCCTGGTACCAGGTACGACCACAACTGCTAACCAGGAGGCTGTGCAGCAAAGAGCTAACTTTTTTTCCTCTAGTAGGAGCCGTAGATTGTGTGTAGTTGACACTAAGGGAGCAAATTTTGTTAGTCTGTGTTATTAAAATGAATTCAGACAGGTATACTCAGAAGGGACTCTAAGTGGGAAATCTGGGCTCTTTGTCAAAGCTAAATGAGATTTGGTAACTCAGAGTGGGAGTGGGGGGCGGGGGGAAAGGGAGACTTGGTCGCTATCAGGAAACTGCTGCAGAGCCTGTGTATGCTTCTGTGCTTTTGTTTGCAGATTTAGAGCTACTTGCAAGTAGAAGGTGGTATGGAATCTTCTACAAACTTAAGATACTGACTTAATTAGGTATTGATTTAAGCTTATGTTGACAGATTCGAAGAATTAAATTAGAAGTGTTAAATGGCAGAGCTATTACAATGAGAAGGGCAGGCTGTGTGGAAAACTGATATAAAACATTTTCACCTCCTTGATTTTTTATTCATAGTCCTCTAATCACAGAAATCCTCCATAGCATATTTGACACCATAGATAATTTATAAAGCAACTCTTATGTTTAAGAGACCCTGCTAAGAACTTACCTATCATAATGTTTGATGGTATGGCTGAACTGTATATTTGTGTTTGAAATAATAACTTTGAATCATAAAAGTTGTGTCTATAGACTTGAAGTTAGGAAACATACATTTTAGAAACGACTCCATGGGGCGCCTGGGTGGCTCAGTCGGTTAAGTGCCCGACTTCAGCTCAGGTCACGATCTCGCTGGTCAAGTGAGTTCCGGGAAGCCCCGGCGTCAGGCTCTGGGCTGATGGCTCAGAGCCTGGAGCCTGCTTCTCCCAGGCCCCTCTCTCTGCCCCTCCTGTTCATGCTCTGTCTCTCGGTCTCAAAAAAAAAAAAAAAAAAAAAAAAAAAAAGAAACGACTCCATGAAAAATAGTTAATATTATTTTAAAAACAATAACAACAGCCCTATTTCTTAGGATTTAATTTTTTTACGTAGTCTTTACACCCAACATGGGGCTCGAGCTCACAACCCTGAGATCAAAGGTTGCATGCTCTACTGACTGAGACAGCCAGGCATCCCAACACTGCTGTTTCCTAAAGAGCTGACAGTTACTAAACTCCAGCTTGGTTGTAGGTGAAGCCTCCCACCACCTCATACCCTTATCTCTTAGGAGAGCTATGGGCATTTTTGTTTTTTAATTTTTTTAGTTTATTATTTAAAAAAAATTTTTTTTAATGTTTGTTTATTTTTTTTTTAATTTTTTTTTCAACGTTTATTTATTTTTGGGACAGAGAGAGACAGAGCATGAATGGGGGAGGGGCAGAGAGAGAGGGAGACACAGAATCGGAAACAGGCTCCAGGCTCTGAGCCATCAGCCCAGAAGCAACAGGCATGCTCAAACTCACGGACCGCAAGATCATGACCTGGATCAAGTCGGACTTTGAACTCTTTCGACTATGCACTCCTAGGCTCTCCAATGTTTGTTTATTTTTGAGAGAGATGGAGACGGAATGGGAATGGGTTAGGGGCAGAGAGAGAAGGAGACACAGAATCTGAAGCAGGCTCCAGGCTCCAAGCTGTCAGAGCCTGCTGCAGGGCTTGAACTTACAAGCTGTGAGATCATGAGCTGAGCTGAAGTTGGACGCTCAACCTACTGAGCCACCCAGGTGCCCCATTCTTAATTTTTTAAAGTTTATTTACTCAGAGAAAGAGAGAGAGAGAGGCAGGGAGGGGCAGAGAGAGAGACGAGGAGAGAGAATCTAAGCAGGCTCCACACTGTCAGCACAGAGCCTGATGTGGGACTTAAGCTCATGAACCATGAGACCATGACCTGAGCCGAAATCAAAAGTTGGCTGCTTAACTCACTGAGCGCCGCAGGCACCTCAAGATCCATGGGCATTTAGATTTAGATAGCCTTGAATTATATCAGAAGAGTAAAACAGGCAAGGGATAAGCACCAGCAGACCTTCCTACTGAACGTGATGGATGCAGAGTTTGGTAGTATCACCATCCAGGGTTGCCGTAAGGTTTGTTCACGTTATATTGGTCAGCCAGCATCCCCACTATGGGAAGGAAGGTCAGGCCTACACAGTAACGTCAGATGGGACACACCAGAAAGTTAGTGTTCAAAGCTGGGTTTACCTTTCTGGCATCTTTTTAGCACAGTTCATGCTACATTTGTTTGGCAAAGTTATTGTATCCAGTTAGATTAAACTTCCATTTGTTAATCTAAGCAGTTATTTACTGCTTTTCAAGATTTTTATGTTTTATGTTTATGTTTTATGTTTAAAGCGTTATCATGCCTGGCAGCTGTTTTGAATGAGCAAATTTTAAAGTATTCCATCCTTTTGCTCAAATACCATCTTTTCTGTGAAGCTTTCTTGCCCACACAATTTTTCTGTTTTCTGCTTTATTTTCCTCCATAGCACTTTCTTCTAACTTGCTTTACAGCTTCATGTGTTTTTATACCTGTCTTCACCCACCAAAGTGTTAGCAGCTTCATAGGGGCGGAGCTCTGTCTGTGTTGTTTATTGCTGTCTCCCCACCACCTAGAACAGAGTAGGCACTCGATATTTATTGAATTTGCTGGAAAACTACTGGCTTGATGCCATCGTTTGGCTTTCAGTGTAACTTGGTGAGATCTCAGTACATCTCTGGAAATCTTAACAATCGTGAAGGATATTTTGAGGACTGATTTAAGAGGTTGTATATAGAGGTGCCTGGGTGGCTCAGTCAGTTAAGTTTCTGACTCTTGATTTTGTCTCAGGTCATGAGATGGAATCCCTTGACAGGCTCTGCACTGAGCGTGGAGCCTGCTTAAGATTCTCTGTTCGCCCGCTGCCCCTGCCCTATTTGTGTAAGTGTGTGTGTGCACATGTACTCTTTCTGTGTCTCAAAAAATAAAAAATAGAGGCGTCTGGGTGGCTCAGTCGGTTAAGCGTCCGACTTCGGCTCAGGTCACGATCTCACAGTTCGTGAGTTCAAGCCCCGCGTTGGGCTCTGTGCTGACAGCTCAGAGCCTGGAGCCTGCTTCACATTCTGTGTCTCCCTCTCTCTCTGCCCCTTCCCTGCTCATGCTGTGTCTCTCTGTGTCTCAAAAAATAAAATAAAAATTTAAAAAATTTTTTTAAATAAAAATAAAAAATAAAAGGTTGTTTATACTATTACTGATATCAAATTGTATACCAGAAAATATGATAACCTAGTCCTACCACATTTGAATAAAATAATGTTAGACCTTCAGGCACACCTGGCTGGCTCAGTCAGAGGAATGTGTGTGATTCTTGATCTCAGGGTCATGAGTTCAAGACCGCTCGTGTGTAGAGATTACTTAAAAATAAGTAAGTATTTGTTTTAAAATTTAAGACCTTCAAGGGCACCTGGGTAGCTCAGCCTGGGTGGCTCAGCCGGTCAAGTGTCCAACTTCGGCTCAGGTAATGATCTCATGGTTCATGAGTTTGAGCCCCACATCGAGCTCACTGCTGTCAGTGGAGCTCACTTTGGAGCTCACTAAAAAAAAAAGAAAAAAATTTTTAATAAAATAAAATTTAAGACGTTCAAATTTTTCTTCTCATATGATTCTCACAGAAACTTAATAGATGAAGAAATGTAGTAGAGTACAATAAGTGGTTTGCCTAAGAGCCCATGGTTAATAACAAGAATCCATGTTCTTTTTTAAATAAAAACTTATTCAGTAAACATTTATTGAGAATCTGTAATCTGCCAAAACTATGCTAGTTTTCCATCTTGAACTGACAGCCCAAGGGTTGTTATAAGCTTTGTTTTTTGTTTGTTTGTTTGTTTGTTTTTTATTGAAGGGGGAGGAGACTTGAAGAAAAATTGAGGGATAGTTGAGGACGTTTTTCAAATAAATGTAAAGGAAAAGAGTGGTACTACAGATCCCCTCTGCTAGATGTGAAAGTATTACCTTTCAAGATCGCTGAGTACTCCACTCCCCCCAGAGGAAACCACTGACCAAAATTTTGTCATTCCCTATTTTCCTTTTATAGTTTCACTACATGTTTGATTTCCTAAACTAGATAGTGTTTTTGAACTTTAAACTATATATGTTCTTTGCAGGGCGCCTGGGTGGCTCAGTCGGTTAAGCTTCTGACTCTTTCATGATCCCAAGGTTCGTGAGTTCAAGCCCTGCATTGGGCTTCATACTGACTGGAACCTGCCAGGGATTCCCTCTCTGCCTCCGTCTCTGCCCCTTCCTCGCTCACTCTCTGTGTCTCTCTCTAAAAATAAATAAATAAATAACTTAAAAAATATATATGTGTTCTTTGAGACTTTCTTTGATACATCTGAGATTCTTGAAGTCTTTACCTATGGCTATGATGCATTTTCTAATTCATTCTGTAATAGACTGTTGATGGGCCTTTGGGTTGTTAACATCCCCCCTCCCTTACCATGTTGCAAAAACTGCTGTGAACATTCTTCTCCATTCTTCTGGTACACATGGACAAAAGATTCCCCAGGGAATATACGTAAGAGTGAAACCTCAGAGTCATTGGAATTGCGCATATTTAACTTGACTAGAATGTGAACAAAATTTTCCAAGTTGTTGTGATGATGTATGCTCCCACTAGCAAAGTAGAAGTGTTTCTGTTGTATCTTCACTAGCACTCAAAATCATCAGATTTCTAGGTTTTTGCCAGACTGGTAGGTGTAAAATGATAGCTCCTGAAAATTTTATTTGTACTTCTTTGATGACTGATGAGATTGAGCATCTTTTCATATATTTATCGGTCATTTGTGTTTGTTCTTTATAGTGCCCATTGAAGTCTTTGCCCATTTTTCTCTTTTTTTTTCTTTTTTCTTTTAATATTATTATTATTATTTTGAGAGAGAGAGAGTGGGGTTGGGAGGGAGGTACAGAATCTGAAGCAGGCTCCAGGCTCTGAGCTGTCAGCACAGAGCCCAATGCAGGACTCAAACTCATAAACCATGAGATCATGACCTGAGCCAAAGTTGGACACTCAAACAACGGAGCCACTCAGGCACCCCATTTTGCCCATTTTTCTATTGGATGTCTTCTTACTGATATGCCCGCATTCTTGATGTATTCTGAATACCAAACTGTTGTCTGTCATGTATGTTGCACGTATCACCAGTTTCAGGGCCTTCTTGCTTTCCATCACTCTAGGGCATTAGAAGGTAAAGAAAAAGTCTTAATTTTAATGTGGTTTAATGTCTCTCTTTTTGGTTTCGACCATATGTATGTGTTTTAAGAAATTATTTCCTACTCTGAGCTCATATAATTTTTCCCTATATGACCTTTGAGGGATTTTTTAAATTAAAAAAATATATAT